AGGTCCAGCGAAGACCTCTGGGCCGAAATCTGTTCGTGTCTGCCACGCCCCGACCAGAAGGATGCTGGCCCTGCCTTCACAGACTCCTTCACGGATGCCTGCGCCGACGGAGGAAGCCAGGGCAGTGGGTCAGATGGCTCTTCCCAAACGAATCTGAAGCCCTGGGCACCCCTGAATGATTCAGAGGTGTATTTGGCATCCCTAGGTGAGTGTCTGGTAAGGCTTAGACTTCTCCACTTGCTTGGGTGCCTGGTGGCAGCTGTGGCTCAGTGTCATGACTGAGGTGGCGGTGCCCACAGCTCGGGTTGGAAAGGTGGCTTGCAGCTACTTTACAGAACATCTCGCTCGTTTGCTGCAGGTGCATGAGTGGAAATAAGAAGCACGGCCCTAGCTTCTTCAGCTGTGCCACAGAAAGGAACTTCTTATCAAGTACAAACCAAAGTATTCAGGTTTTTTCCCCCAAAATAAGTGGGGTAGGGACACTGCTGTTTGTTCTCTGAAGAGCATGGAGTTCCGCTGTAGTTGACCTGGGGAGGGGAAATGTGTTCTGAGCTTGTCCCAGAGCCTACGTGTTTCTGCGCTACCGGTGTTGGTCTCGTTCTTTTTGTGGAGCCTCGGGAGACACTTCTGAGTGGAAAAAGTGACATTTCTTCCTGTGAGCTGGTTGGAGGGGAGGGGGGCAGGTGTGGGAAGGAAAGCTCTGATGCTTTCCCAAATCGTGCCTGCTGGAATCTGTGTTGTAAGACGTCAGATCCTGCAGATCATCCTGGTGCGGTTGCTTAATTCCTGCCCAACCTCCGAAGCCGTGAGTTGATTGTGAACAGCACAAGAGCTGCTGGGAACACTGGATCCGGGGGGGGACAGTGCTGGAGCTCACACCTGAGCACTGCTGAGCGCTGCAGCCTTTAGCTCGAAGGCTGCGGAATTTGTCACCCTCTTGTGAGTGTTTCCTACTGCCTTCAGGGCGCTCAGCCCCGGCACGGACGCTCCCATTGCCTGTTAGGAGGAAGCTTCGGGGTTCCCCTGCACTCCAGCAGTGGGGCTGCTGCTCCCAACACTCGCAGCAAAACATTCCATCTTTATGGCTCTTCTTTTCCCCTTCCTTCCCTCCTGTGGAGTTATTTTTGTCTGGAGCCAGTTTGTAACCTGGTTTGCAGCGCAGCCACGCGCGCAGTTGCCTTGGCTTGCGTAGGAGGCTGCCTGCAGAAGCGGGCCAGGAGGGAGGGGTGGCAGAAGTGGCTTTTTAAGCTTTTATTTCTGCTGGAGCTTCCCTCCTGCCTTAGCTGCTGTTTTGGACTTAGTGCACTAAGGAGAGTTCTTAGTTTCAGATCAAGGGTGCCGCAGCAACCGGACATAAACGGCTCCTCTGGCGTTAATTGCTGCCGCAGTCCCCGCCGGTTCAGAAGATGCCGGTGGGTTAGTTTTTACAAGCAGGCTTCAGACTAGATCCGTGTCTGTTCTCTCCCAGCTGGGATGAGAGCGTAACACTAGCGCAAAGTTTCCCTTGTGCATTCTGGCCAAGTCAACAGAAATGAACCCGTGTGTTCGGCCAGACACGATAATCCAAATCTTCGGAGCTGCTGGGGCTGGAGGCTCCCAGTGACAGCTCAGTCCTGTGACAGGACAACCTCCAAAAGGCTCCCCAGGTGGGCCAGGGTGGTGTGACCCGGCCCAGTTCAGCTAACGGTGACACGCCTTTCAGTGAAAAGTGTGATTACGAGTCAATGCCTGGCCCAGTTGAGGGAGGAAACGGTTATAATGGGATTTGGTGACCACAGGAATTAATGAAATGTGCTTTCTTGTAGCTTTGTGTGCTGTAGTTGGGATTACCCTGCGTCTGGTAAGGAGGCACGTTCGTCGTTCCCTGGGGCTGAGACACAAGGTCACATTCTGCTCCGAGATACCCCACTGATAACACCCCTGCGCTCCCATTTTTTCCCTCAGTTTGGGCATTATTTGGGTTCACACTAAACTTAGTGTGATTTGTGTTCCGTGCCAGTTGGCTTGGAAATTGTGGGGACTTACTGCCTGTGAGATCTGAACCCTCCTGGGTGATCTCCTGGGGACTGAACAGTGTGAAAGTGCTGAAAACTCCCAAGGGGCAGAGCTGACCGGTTGCATAAACCTTCCTTCCTCCAGAAGCGTCACCTGGAAAACAGCGTCTTGTATCCGTGCAAGAAGTGCCGTCCTGCGGGCCTGGGATTAGGGGGGGGAATGTCTTTTAAAATAGAGCTTAGTCTTGAAAAGGTAATTTAACTTTTTTGATATACAAGTCCGGATAGTTCTTCTCTTCCCTTTCAGAAGAACGTAACAGAGGTAACAAAGACCCCTGCTTTGCCTCTTCACAGAGAGAAGGCTGATGAGAATTAAAGGCTTGTCCCAGGAGGTGACCTCCAAGGATATGCTGCGCACTCTCTCCCAGGCGAAGCAGGAGTGCTGGGACAGGTTCCTGCAGGAGAAGTTGGAGTCCGAGTTCTACACAGAGGGACGCGACTCCGACGAGAGGTGAGCAGCGCGCCGGTGCGGCGGGGTCACCGCTCCCCGCGCGGGCCGACGGCCTTGAC